CAAGGAAGGGAAAGAAAAAAGTAAGGAAGGAAAGTCCCACCTGTTAAATGACAACAATCGCGTATTGCGTATTGCCATTGGGTCACATATAGTCACATTGTCAAATGACGTCCGCATTACTATTAAATTATAAATATATATTGTTCCTTTTTTTCAAAAAAAATGCTTATACTTCGGACGGACTCTTGATTAATGAATCTCACCTCAAGTACGTCTAGATACGTTACGCAAAATTCCCACACCCGAGTTAAGCCCGCCCAAGGTTGATCTTACATTTGTGCCATGCACCTTGTATTTCATTTTTTTCGTCGCATATATTTTCTTTTGCAAAGAACAAAACAAAAGGCGCCGCCCTCGAGAGCACGTAACGAGAGCAATACCTACCTTCAGATCGGAAACGAAGTAAGCTGGGCCTGATGATGAACGTATGCGTGAAGTGAAGTCCAGTACCTAGCGTAACCCTAAACGGGGCTTTGCGACTTGGCGCGCAAGAAGGAACGGAAGGATTGAAGAAACCGCGTGGAATAGCGCAGCGTATCTGTGTGTGACAGATAGGATATCCTGAAGATTTACTGTGGATTCCGAATTTCGGAATTTACAACGGATAACTCCGCGCGGGTTGAATAGCAATTGCTGTCCGCAAATGCACAGTCCTTTTATAAATGTGCTTCAGAAGTTCAATTTTCGGAATTTTCGGGAGTGTTGGAATTAACATGGGAAAAAAAAAAAAAAAAAAAAAAAAAAACATGGGACGCTGGAACCGGTTTCCAGCTGCACTAGACTTGTTGTGACCTTGAGCAGTGGGTGGGTTTTTGGCTCGCTCCGCTCGTAAGCGAAACTGGCTGAGTCTGCCCGGACAACTCCGGGTTGAATTGTGAGGTGCCCCCGGCCTCGTCCCACTGTTATTCTTTGTAATACAGTCGAAATCCCCCCCTAATTGTGAGTTCGTCTGGTCGATTCTCCTCTGGCAGCCAAGCTGCGTGATTGTGCCTCGCTCCACTGCTCAACATTCTACATGCATTTGGACGCCTTTCCGCACCAGTTGCAGGTTGATTGCCTCTCATGACTTGTGAATTGCTATGTGATGGATTGGTAACGATCGATGTACGTCGTTCCCTAACCTTCCTCAACCAATCGAGATATTATCAGAGTTAGTTTTTTTTTTGTTTTTTGTTTTTTTTACAGAATTAGTATTTTGCATTGACCGGCCCCAGGTAAGTCATATTTTGTTCTGTTCTGACATCTGATTGCATCTGGAATCGAACTAGGGTCTGTATTTTCACCCTAATTACCGCCAGGTTCATGGCTGTACCAACTGGGCTAAGTTCCGCTAGTCTGATATCCTCCTTTTTTTCACGTTGATCTTCTCGAATAGAATGTGCGGTCCACACACACACTGCAACTATGCTAGACAAAAAAAAAAAAAAAAAAAGCTATGTTAGACGTACCTGACCCTAGTTACCGCCAGATTCCGATTGAAACACCCTCTACCGTCTTGCCCCGAATAGAATGTGCGGTCATTATTGCTGTATTTGGACTGAAAGTTGCCGCAAGTACAGGCATAATGTACCGTGCGTTCTATTCCTGTCTCTTATACACATCTAGATGTGTATAAGAGACAGCCCCTCTACGTGCACTTGGACCCCTTCTCGAACTGATACATACAAAACGGTGTACTCGTCCAAATGCACCTGGTCCGGAAAGGCGTCCAAATATATCC